GAGTCAGGAGCACGGATGTTCAGTGCAGCGAAGGTGAAAACAGCAGCTGCAACCGAGTTACTCAGGACTTGAGCTGCCAGTTTTACCTTCACGTTGTCAAACGGCGTCTGGTTAACATGGCGATCAGTGAGTTTCGGAGCCATGGGCGTACCAACCGGGGGGGGGGGGGGGGGGGGGGGGGGGGGCAAGCCCTTGCCCCCCCCCCCCCCCCCCCCCCCCCCCCGAAACAGCCGCCGCTGGGCGCGGCGAACACTGGCCGGCGGCGCTCGAGGGATACCAAGGGCACCGCCCCCCGGCTCGGGGGGAGGGAAGTCTGGTTTGCCGCCCCCCCCCCCCCCCCCCCCCCCCCCACACTCAAAAACAAGTTGGTACGCCACTGTTCGGAGCCGATTTCAATTTCAGACGGTGGGAGCTTGAATGAACTTCATGAATGTATGACCACTTCACAATTTCGCTGCCAATTTTGAGGTTTCCTTTCCTTAATTCCGAGTGCACTTGAGCAAATGTGGTGTGTCAAACATGAAGTCGACGTTCTCATCCCCACCATGAAAAAAGGATGATCAGGTGTCACTCCAAGCTGGGTAGCCATTGTGCGGTTGCTCCCACCCTGGTCACAGATCACAGTCTTAAACAGAGCTCCACCAGACCCCAGGTCCTCAATTATGTTAATAATCTTTTCTGGATCTTCAGGGTTCAGCGTTTTGGATACAAGGATGAATAAAAGGGATTGTATCCACTGTTTCGACACACCAGACAGAACCACAACCACAACCTCAGAACCACAACCTGTGATCTCAGATGATCTCTTCGTTCCATTGTCTGCATAGCCATGAACCAAGTCTCACTTTACGTCGTAGTACAAGTTGTGTTTGAGCGACATCTCGCCAAACAGCATCGTGCACACACGGTCCTTTAAAGGCCAGTCCTTCATGTTGTTCCTGACCGTGTCGAGAACTGAGTATGAGACCTGGTTCGATGGCTATGCCGGATAGCCAGGTCTGAACAGATCTCTTAGATGGCAAACTCAATCATTTGGCCAGGTACTTGTAAGCCTCGGGGCTGTGAAAGTAGAGGTTTAAAGCAAAAGGCTTAAAACTGTCTGGCCACCTTCTCCCAAACTTGCTCAGTAGCTGGAGGTAGAGCTGTACCCGGAAGATCTCAAGGGCTTCTTTTCGTAGGTACTTCGAAGCATTTCTCACCAACTCGGCTCTTGAAAGCTGCTTGAGTCGGTCTTGCCTCTCATTGGCCCTGCAGAGCATTTGCCGAAACAGGGAGTTCGACAAGCGAAGTCGCGTAATTACTCTCTGGGTACGTGGGGTGTACTCCCTGCGCACAGGCTCCGAGATTTCCTTGGAGCTTTGTCTGGGGATTGAAGCCCTATGAGAAATACTTAATTAATAAATGAATCCAAATAATTTTTTAACTTCTATAGTACCTTGCTGAGCAGCAGTGGAGGTTGAGGGCCATGGCGGGGACGATCGTGAACCTGCAAGGTCCCATTTGTTAAATAAATGCAAAATGCTTTGAAAACCTTACTTTTAATTTGTTGACATACCTGAATTAAGCGGACTGGATGTGGCAAGCCCTGGAGCCGAGACTTCTGGATCTGTTAAATGAATAACATCATCAAGCCATGCATTTAGGAACTTGAATTATATTTCTGCAATAAAAGAAGGCATGTTACCCTGCTGAACAGTAGTTGGCATGAATACCCTTGGCGACAACACTTCGGCAAATGACACTGCTCCTTAGGGGCGTTGAAACCACAGTGAAGTCAAAGTTCGCTGTTATTCCGATCGACAGCTGCACGGGAACAACCTTGACTACCACTTAGTCAAATACTGTAAACGACTTAATTTTTGCGGGCTCAAATTTTCGCGAATCGGGACAAAGCTGAAAATTTGAAATTATTCGCGGGTTCTAATTATCGCGAATCGAGTGTAGCTCCCGTAGCGTTCAGATATTGCCCCAATTTTTCGCGGGACGTACTTTTCGCGAATTTTAGGCTATTCGCGAAAATTGGGTCCTCGCAAAAATTTAGTCGTTTACAGTATAGACCCACATTTTTTGTTTTTTCAGCGCAGATTTTTTTTTTTTTTTACTTTCAAAATAAATTTATTTAAAAAAATATATATAATAATAAAAGCGAAGACACTTGAGATTGTTTACGTGCCGGAATGCGAAGGAGTCCCGCGGGTGAAATGTTTTCGAGTGATGTTTCTACACGTATTCAAGTTGTTTCTTCCGGTATTGCGTTCGCTGTGTATGTATTCGGTGCACACGGCGCTCCGGCGGTGACATCCCCCACTGCGCAGGCGCCCGTGACGAAGCATCTCCGTCGCTGTGCTTTTCTTTGTGTTTTATTTCTGAGGCGCGCCCGCTTTGACCTTGAGCGGCGCGTGCTTGATGGCGTATTTTTATGGCCATCTTTCAGGCAGAACGCCGACGCCTTTTCCCGTAATGGAACATATAAAACTTTCGCCTTAAAAAAAAAAAAAAGAAAACAGATTTGGTGCAAAGAGGTGAAGCTCGACACGCGTGCGCAGGTGAGAGGCGGCAAGGACGCATGCGGCAGACGTGATAATTAAGTGAACTCATCAGGAGTACAAGACCCTGGTTCTGTCTTATCACTTCTCACAACTTTTAGCTCCTCACATCGCAGACATCGTCTAGAAATTGAGACGATGTCGGCGATCAATTCGCCAGCGCATCAACCAACCAGCGCAGTTGAGGAGCACTCTCAATACTTCGTTTCATCTTAATTTAAATTGCAGCCTATGTTACGAGCGAACGGGATCAACCAGCGTCAAAGCGCGACATCATGGCATTCGTCCATCTTCCTGTAAGTAGTCATTTATCGACTAAACGGATCAAGTGCAGCGAATGTTCCGTGACTTGCTTTTTTAGCTTGTGTTTTTGGTGGTATGTGTTCGAGCATTCGACTGTACTCTGACCTAAGGTAAAACAAACTATACAGTGAGTAGAGACGCTCTGAAATAGATATTTGTACACTTTTCCTTTCCTCCTGCTTCTCTCAATATTAGAGTCGACCAAGAATACGATTTTTTTTTTTTTGCCTATCTCGGCGCAGGTGTGGCACAATTCTTAGCAAAAATGGCACCTTGGCGCAGCACTTATATTACTGCCATATAGCTGTGGCTTAATTGCCAAAAAAAAAAAAAAAATCACGAACGGTAACTTGTTTTGCTGAGGTGGTTTCTCCGCCACACTCTGGTGCACTGTGGAGAAGCGGAAGATCAAGACGTTCGAACGTGGAGAATCACAGAAATTTCCCGCGGAAGTCTTGCTATTCCAAAATATTCTGATAGGCAAGTTGGTCGCACTTACTGAGTGGCTCTAGGCTGAACTGGTGGAACATTATAAAACATCAATAGTGCAAAGGATGAGGGCGAGTGGAAAAAAAGACTAACAAAAGTCACTTGAGTGTAATGCCGAGGAAAGAACAAGGGTAGGGTATTATGAAAAGAAAGCAAGATAAATTACCCAAGCGCCATGCTGCGAGTGTAGTTACACGCGCCTGGCGTCCATAGCATTAACTGTTAACGCAAAAAGAAAAAAATGGCACTTTGCAAGGCATTTGTCAAGACCTCATTTTGATTATTTACTTCGAATAATTTATACCGACAAATCGCGCGCGCGCATGCAGCGCGTGCGCCTACTTTCCCAGTATTATCCCTGATGCTTGGGTAATTTGGCAAAAGGTATTAAAGAAAGTGCATTAATAAACAATTTCAAAGGAAAACATATAAATTAAATGGTTACAAAGAAAGAAGGAGCCTTGAAAATAATAGTCTGTAAACAAATATAGAAAAATGTGCTTCGGGGAATAGGAAACCAATAAAATATAATAAAAAAAACTTAAGAAATAAGATTTTTTTTTCTTTCGTTAAAGCATTTTTGTTTTTATCAAGTAATTTTTCTGAAGCTCCTTCTTTTTCTATAATCTTCCAATTATCACCCGGAAATCAATTCTAGCCACCTCCTTTCTTTTCTCGTTCAACCTTCGTAACCTTGTCTTTTGTTTACGAGCCAGCACGAGCTTCTTGCATCTTCCTGCCTTCCATAACACAGGCACCTCAAGTATGCACAGCCACAGCGGGAAGGCACTGAGCGCATGCTGTAGGCATTCCTAGCATTTCATCCTACGTGTACTGTTTGCTTTTTAAAAGGATTCTTGCTAACCAAAGGTATTGATGCAAAAATACATCCATTGCCATATATGTTTTCCTAGCGCCGGCCAAGTCAATGTTCCTTTTTTTTTTTTTTTATTATATAATCCAAGGAATTATCCACTCCTATCACTTTTCGGTTCTCTTATTTTTCCTGCTATTTTCTTTCCCGCCGTCATAATAAAACTGTTGCTAATTTGAAGAGCTGCAAGTGTCTGCCTTCTGTCCGCTAAACTGCTTTATATTTGTCCGCCTGGAAATTTTTAAAGCTAATTTCGTACTGCTCACGGGCACTCGGGCGGTTATTTCCCTATCTCATTAGCCTTCCAGCAATGCCTGCTCGATGCTCTGGTTGGAAGTCAAGCGGGCTACAATTGTTGTCATTTTTAAACAAACTTGAGTATTTTATATTAAAGAGAGTCGGAGGCAACATAACTGCTTCAATTGACGTCTGGAGGTGCTTAAATGGGCGAACATGATAGGTAACTGCATAACTTGTCATTTGCAATTGCTTATAAAACCCACAAGAAAATACATCAATCCCAAATGGTTGATGTATTTGCTTGTAGGTTTTATAAGCAAATTAAGCAGCCATTCCAGATGACAAGTTATGCAGGCACTTGTCACCTCCCAGTGACATATTAAACAGTAGATTATCCGCAAATTCGAGCACAGTAAGTTCAGACTTCGATAACTGAGCTTTCTACTAATTTGTAGTCTTGCACACAACACTTAGGTGTGAAATTTCCCAACTATCCAGAAAATTTAGTGCTACTGACAATGATTGTGCACTCTGTAACCACAAAGCACTTCCAAGCTATAAACTTTATTTGACTTATGTGAAAAAATATAAAAAAATTGTCCTATTAAAAAGTACAAATAACCCTATATTTCAAAACACCAATATAGAGCACACATTTAAACTGAGAAAAAGCAAACATACAAGCACTCCTTGGTCGATTGTAATCTGCTACACCATCTGTTTGTGGTTAGAAACATAGTTCAAACTTCCCTGCCGACAAAATCAATGAGTCAGACAATGCCTATAGATCTGAAATGCTACCGTTTCTTTTACAATACAATAGGCACACTTTGTAAGTACAAACAAATCACAGTGTAGGTAGAAACTAAGAAGAAATGTATAAACCCATTAATTAAAGCAAGTTATCACTCACTCAAGAGGCACCTTATTTCATTCATGCTATTCAAATACCAAACAGGAGCAAAAGTAGACCCTGTAGCTTTTCTGAAAAGCAGCACAAACAATTCATTGACAAAGTTCATTGAGAAAAACTAATATAGACCACAGTCAGACATATTTCACTGGTGCAGCTCCAGACAAAGGCACTACGAGTCTACTCTTACAAATGGGTACACGGGTAGTTGTCGCTTGAACAATGTCACATCCCCAATGAATGTTGAATCCTCAATTTTCACGGCAGATTCCAGAAACTGCAGCAAGTATGTGATGTCCTCGCTGCTGCTGTCATCGTTGCCATTTTGCTCAGGAGACTGCTTCGGTTGCTTCCAGGGATGGACATGATGCATCTGCTCAATGCACCGCTCGAAAGAAAGTGCTCGATTGACTGAGCTGTCCTCGACATCCACAGTGGTTGAAGATGACGCTTCCAAGGAGAGTGATCCAAAAGGCTTGGACTCTGCAATTGCAGCTTCACCATAGCCGACAATCTGGATGGAAAGCTTCCGTCGTAGAGGTTCTGTGCGGTGGTCAAGTGGAAGCAGAATCTTGCAAAAATTCTTGAATTCTTCCAGTGACAGGTTCTTGAGAAACTCAATTTCCCGGTGCAGTCGATCAAAGAGATAGTCAAAGGATGCTATCTCCTGCCAGTGTCGGTCCGACTCTTCTTGGAGGTAAAGGTCCGAGCAGTTCTTTTGCTTCACAAGTGATGAAACTTGAGTAGAAAACTCCTCCTGGGTTAACTCGGTCATCTTTTTGGCAAACATACCCAGGAATGCCTCGATCTGCTGGTCCACATAGGTGCAGGTGAATTTCTCAGCCGAACAAGACACACTGACAGTAAATCCGACAATGCCGTTGGTGTTTCTGTTGGAGCAGTTCACGTCGTAGCCCAACTGGGACTTTGTTCGCAGCGTGTCAAAGCATGGCTCCTCCATGAAGTTGATCATGAGCTCAACAAGCACGTGCTGACTCACATCACCTGGCCCCAGCTGGTAGTAGTTGACAATGACAGAATTGGGGTCTTCCAGATTAAACGAGGCTACCCTGCAGTAGTAGTTGCCATGTGGGATTTTCATCACCCTTGCCTCAGGGATCATGCAGGAAGGCAGTGGCTTGCAGTCAAGTTTGTTCACCACGAGCTCTGCCAGAGAAATAGCTTCTGATGAAGTCATGTTGCCATGAACCAGCCCTTCAACAAAGAGGTGGTTTTTGAACAGTTTCACAAAGGACAACAATGATGAGACTGTCACATCCTTGATGATGGTGCGCTTCTCTATGTGGGACCAGTGGCACTGGTGCAAAATAGAAAAACGTGTGTCTGTAGAGAGACGCGATGGCTTCATGAAGTCATTGTAGTACCGCTTGTGTAAGTGCTTCTTGAGGTTGTCAAATAGCTCCTGCTTAACCTCAAAGTTGGCCAAATGATGCAAGATGACATCAAAAAGAACAGGAAGTTTCTCATTGAAACCTATGACACGTATGGTTAGGCCATTTTCATGGACAGAGATGGAGAAGTCAAGGGAAGCACACACAGCTGCATTTGTCTCCTCACTCATGTTTTGAAGCAGGATGTCTCCCAGAAGATCCATGAGAACAGCATTCTCTGGTGACATGTACATGACAGGAGAGATAAGCTGAAAGTAGATACACGCTTTAGGAACATTAAACTTGGTATCCTTTTTGTACCACAACCGGTAGCATCCAGTTTCATGCACTTGGACAGGTAGTTCAGACTGATAATCAGATTCCTCTTTCAGGCTGAAGTCAGTAGCAATGTATTTGTTCGGCTGGGGCACGTCGAAGTAGGGATCCGGCGTCAAGTTAGCCCATGCGGATATCCATTCCTGCGGAATGTCTTGCACACAATATTGTGTTTCTAGGTACGGCTCTTTCAGGGTGCAGATTCCTTGCTTCTGGTACCGGCAAGAGATAATCATGATGTTTGCCTTCTGAGGAACCAGCATATCCAAGCAGCTCTGAATTATTGCTGGGTCATATTCGAAAAGACAGGTCTCGCCAAGAAGGTAATGCTGAGGAGGGTACAGCTGCATGTTTGAACAGAGCCTTTCGACATAGTCCAAGGGGCTCTCTTCTTCGCACCAGCGAAAGTTGTTGTCCGAGACAGTACGAATTTCATCAAAAATGCTCGCGATTGGACCCTTTCGCTGAACCATGGCAAGAAAGCCAAATACAGCAGTCAACACCTCACCGATATGCTTTAGACCGTCCTCTGTGAGAGAAATGGTAACATTAAACAGCGAGCAAGTAGAGTTATGATGGAAACCAGTTCCTTCATTGCCAGCAACCAAGCTGAGAGCCCACGACTTCTCTCGCAAGTATGCCAGGATGCTTCCAGCACCTTCATGGCCCACAACATAAGAAATGTACTCAAGAGGCTTGGTCTTGTACTCGTGGAGTAAGGATGGCAATGCCCAAGTAACTGACAGGTTGTTCACCTTCTTCACTGGCTGCACCTTGTACAGTTTTGTGAACTGTTCCAATGGGAAAGGCTCACGAGGCAGGAAACCTGTCAACTCACTCTTGGCTGTCCTTTTGGGGATAGCAGAGAAGATCTTGCTAACCATCTGCTCCAGATCATCCAAAGAATGCTTTGACTGAACAGCCAGTGTCATAAGCTCAGGGCTGTAGTTTTCTTCAAAGAAACTTCTTAGTGCAGCATGAGCGTCAACATTATCGGTCAGAGGAACCTCCTTCAGAGACTTGGTGTTCCCCCACATAAATTTCCGCATTGGGTGTGCTTCATGAGCAATGCTTCCCAGGAGCTGCTGGTGACGGCAGGAGTCTGATGGTAGCACCAGTTGGAATTCATTGTCGATGGCTTGAAGTTCTCTTTCCATGCTCTCCTCCTTGATAAGCGGTGCAACAAAGAAGTTAGCAAAAATGTCGAGGGCCCGGCCAAGATGTTTTTGATGAACTTCCATCTTGTAGACAGTTTTCTCGCACTCAGTATATGCATTGTCACTTCCGCCATACTTGTTAAGGAAGGCATCGAAGTAGTTTTCTCGTGGGTACTTCTCGCTGCCCATGAACACCATGTGTTCGAGAAAGTGTGCAAGACCTTGCAGATGCTTCGGCTCATGGAAGCTCCCGACTCCAACGCAGAGAGCGGCTGCTGCCATCTTTTCCTTCTTAGTATTGAGGGGCTTGCTTTCCGATTGAGAAGGATGGCCCGATTCCGTGTCGCTGTTACCTTCCATCTCCGAGTCGGGACCACTGGCGTCTTCATCGTCGCTAGCGCTCTCGTCGGAAGAACCTTCGTCGGAAAGTGGCAAGAGAGAATCTGGAGAACATGAACGCCCTGCCGACACGTCCGGCCCATGGCTCTTATTATCATGACTGACGTCTTCGTATTTTCTCTCTGTGATGTAATTCGCAATAGAGGACGCGATGCTGATCTTTGGTGGCAGCGGTAAACAGCTTACCGCGCAGCCATTATCCTTAGGAGCTTCCTCGACCACTGATAGCTGCTCGTGGCTTACTCTTTGAGATGAGTTGGGTGAAGACGAAGAATGGTGGGAGGACGGTGCCCTCACCTTGTGGTCCGAGATTAGAAGAGCCGTGAGACCGTTGGCCAGGGTGATCACCCGGTACGACCTCGTGTCATTCGGTGAGGTGATGATGTTCTCCATAGCTGCGGACTTCTTGCACAGCTGTTCGTTCAAGAGATTCGCTGTGGAGACGTGTCGACCACCTTGACTCTACTTCAGGGACGTCGGCTCCGTGCAAATTAGAGGGCTATCCAGCGCACACGGAGTCCGAGGGGTAGCAAGCCTTGCTACACGGCTGATAGCACGCATGCACAATCAAAAGGGCGTGCGTGGCGACTTGCATCACAAATACCACTGACGTCGCGCGAAAGTTCAGCAAGGGAAGGCATACCAGGCGCACGGCAGGATCCCTTCAGAATTTCTTACTCAGAAGAATCTCCGACATGTTGGCGCCTTTTTTTTTTTTTTTTCGTACAAAGAAGAAACTATTTCCGAACGACGACCGGCTTTCAACCGCGCCAGCCGGTACTGCCGTACTGCTCCCCGGCTATTCCAAGCAAAACCAGCAAAAATGCATTCCACCATTAAACTTTGCTACTCCGCCATAAAGGTAGTGCGCTAATTAATTCGCTATATTTTTTGTAAATGATTGATTACGAAAGGTGTGTTCTAAATTTTCAACGAAGTAGGAAATTTTACCCAAATAAGATCCGAGCTACTCCGGCGGGTCGTGTCACGTGATAACACAGATAGAGCCGATAGAGCGACGCTGGCGACGCTGGAAGCGCTGGAAGTGCTGGAAGTGGGTTGGTTTTCGAACGCAAAGGCCTGGAGTGAGATCGAGTAAATTTTGAAACACGTCCAAGCGTATTTAATTCACAATGTTTATAATGCACCATGATAAAACTGCGACGTTGCTGGAGTCTCTTTAAAAACGTTAATTTCAAGATAAAAAAAAAAATTATGGCCGCCAGCACAGAGCGTTGTAAAAGGAGGAGGAAAACGCGCATTTCGAAACTTGGAAACGGCAGCATCCAGCCATAGAGTTATGCATCCAGCTAGCCAAAGCAGCCACTACCGTGACTACCGTAGAGATCAGATAGAGCACTATATAGCTCCTTCGGAGCAGAGTAGCGCAATCTAGAACGCCGTCTCTCGGCGACTAGCGGCGAACGCCCGGAGGTTCCAACTGCGGTCAGAAATGCATGGAGAACGTGAGAAAATCGTTGTTCCTTCAGTTTTGTGGGGATGTACGGAATGGCAATCATTTTTGACATAATAATGAAACATTTTAGAATAATTTGCGATAAGTTTTGTGCCATGCAAGGACGTAACTTTTTTTAAAAAATTGCCTGAGCGGCATCATGCAGCAGACGACACGGCGACGTCACACCATTCACGTGACCCACTCCGGCCAACCCGAAAAGCCCATCTCCGCTGCGAGCAAACATCGTCTGCTTCAAACGCCATTGCCCTGGAAATTGCCTTCTCAAAATTTGCACACGCATCCGATATTATTCAAACTTTGATAAAGTGTTCAGCGCTTTACTAACTTCACGACAGGCTAGTTTTGAAAAGTGTGAACTCGCCGTTATTTTTTTAATCAGCCGTGTTATGTCGATCTCCATGTATTCTCCCATAGGGCGGGCCCAACGAGGTAGAGGGGCTTAGAGTGATAAACCGGAAGTTCGGAAGTGGCACCCCCCCGGTTGCCGCCATATTTTACGCAAATGTGACCACTCGTCACGTGACCTCCCAAGAGCCGTGACGTCACAGGTAAGATGGCAGCGCCCAGAGCTGGCGGATGCGAGTTTGTTCGGTGCGCGGTAGCCGTGATGTGCAGCTGCTTTCCGACGACTTCGGGCTTCTTCGTGCTCGCTGACGCAGGTATAATGTGAAAATATGAAGGAATGCGACTTTATACCGTTTTTGCGCAAGATCGCTCTGGATCATCTGGATATTAACGCCTGTGAGACAGCATCAGCTCTGCATCGCCGTACCGGTGCTCGGATTGCGGGATGTGTCCGAGGACCGATAGAACTTTGAGTGCTTTTAACATGAAATTTTTGCATTCTCTTAGCTTTGTTTGAACGTTGAAATATCTGAGAATCTACGCGAAATGTATACGTCGCGTTAGGGCCTAAGGGAAGTTGTTTCAGCCCTCCGTCACCGAACAACCATAGCAACTTTTAGCGAGGAAGCTCCTGCGATTTTAACCTTTTGTGCTAATCCACGATTGTACATTCGATCGCTTTTCTTCCTTTTTTTTTTTTGTGTGTGTGTGTGAGTGCGAAGTGCAGCCTTATTTTCAGCTACGAGGATGGCGTTTTATTGAGTATGGGGAAGAATAAATCGTTGCAGGCACCTGCTTCAAAGCTATTCGACTTGCTATAAGAACAACTGTTTTGGTGCATGCATAGATTAACTGCGCATTTTTTCTGTTTTGTAGGATTTATTGCAGCTATACTCTTTTCCATCAAGAGTGCGTTGTATTAGTCGGTCAATTATTTAATTGTTCTAATTACCTGGATAAGATGATTCATATTTGTGTTCATCCCTTGCCTGGAGAGCAGTCTTGTTGAAAAATGTTGACTACCATTCCTTTCGGTCTCTTCAATACATCACCGTAACTTGGAAAAGGCCAACTGCCACAGCCCCCTCGAGCAAATCAGAGACACGGAGCGAAGGTGTGTGATAAATCTGTGCAGACGAGCACTCTGGTGATATGTTGTCATGTGTCTCTCTCCAATGTGTGTACTGACTCACCGAGACCGTAGCCTTTGCCGTCTGCCAAATTCTGATAAAACAAATTACAGTAGCTACTACTGTAATTACCCTAGGCTTTCATACTTTAGGCATTTGTTCGACAAGAATGTTATGTCTGCCATCCCTGTGAATTCGGCTCAGCACCTATTGGACTCGAATGCTGCATTAGTGTTCGACGTGAACTGGGGCCCATTTGTGTGCTTTACGCCGAAAAAAATGGTGACAGTTGTGTTGCTTGATGGGGTTCTGCAAAGGGTCTATTGTGTCATACGTATAGGAAGCGTCCTGCTATATAACAATGCATCAACACATACTATTAAACTATATGCTCAGAGCGGTCTTTGTTTTTCCAATTAACAAGTTACAGCAGTGTGCTTTAATGTTATTATCATGTGTGTAGTTTTAAGTATCCTCTCTGGAATGCCTACAAAGGCCCCTGGAGGGAATAAATTATTAAATAACATTTTCACATCACTGGAGTTGGTTTTCGGATGCACCACATGTTCAGGAAAGGTTGAACGAGTGCAGCCCCATGCTACAAGTCTGCCAGTCTGGTATGTCCCATTAATTAATATTGAAGGGTCAGAGATGCGAGTGTCCTCGTAAGGTCCAGAGCGTGCAGTGAACACAATTCTCGGTGTGTAGACTCTCAAGGCATGAAGGCAAGCGGAAATATGTTTACCTGGTTAGTGTATCAAATATGTTTATTTCCACTTGATTACAAAATTATTGATTCTTAGTAAATGGTTCCATAACGAGTTCTTTCTGCGACAGTCTCGTGTCAGGCGTTCAGTCGTAGTACCTGTGGACCTTGTTGTCGGATGACGCTCCTGGCACGTCGGAGTTCAGTTTGGTCGAGTGGCAACTTTGGCCGACTGATGCTGTCTTGTAATCATACGTCATGTGCACTGAAGCTGCAGGGCTGGCTTCTAATCCGAAAATTTTCCTGGTAGTTTTCGGCATCAATGTAGCAAGTTCGGGCATGTATTGCTTACGTGGCTGTGCCTTTTGCTGTACCGTTGACTTGAAAGCTGGCAACAATTTTTGTTTGCTATCCAAGTCTGGTGATGCTTGCAGTTCACTTTTGAGAGCAACCAACCATTCTATTCCTTCAAGTCACTCAGGGGCATTCTCCCTCAAAGTTGGAAATTGTGTGCTTCGTGGAGTGGACACAGAAAATTGGTGTCAGCAAATTTTTAGGTACTGTCCTTGGACGACAACCGACACCAAATCCACTGTCACTGCATCGCCGCTCACCTGCTTTGTCGTGCTTACCTCTTGTTGAGGTGATGGACATGAGGAGCTTTGGGGTAATCAGGGATTCAGAATCTTCGATTCAGCACCTTCGGCATCAGGGACAAAGGTCGCCGAAGGTAATCCTTAATCTCCCGTGGTCGCTCCTCGAGACGTAATCGAGGGTCGTTTGGCACGAACCCTCGCCAACCAATTCATTGGTACGGGCTGCTTTGGTAGACATGGTAGGCTTAATGCAGTGGTAGCAAAGTGGTTTTCGGTCGCACCCTCGCATCACCTACGTTTTCCTCGGTGTACATTGTTGAGCACAGTCCTACACACAATGTCGGGAATGCTTCAGCGTTAGAGTGTCTCATTGAATTGGCATTGAATACTAAGGGGCAGCCGGTGGCGGTCGTCGTGCCATTGTGGCGTAAGTTGCCCTTGGTTTGTCAGATGCCGCTTCGCTCGCAAAAGTCTCGGTTGAAATACCTGTCAAACTTGTTCCGAAACAATCTCGGCAATCAAAATAAAAGCCGGGCAACTGATGGCAGGAAGTAGCTTCCTGATCTCCTCCCAGACAACGTCGTGGGTGATGTCGTGGATGCCTGGGAGGCTGGCGTCGAAGTAGTAGCTGGACAACTCGAGTGTCGAGACGCCGGGAAGTTGTTCATAGTGGCAGGCTCGGGCATGCAGTGCACATTCCATGTTGGAAGCCTCAGTGATATGAACACTTCGACTGTTGTTGCGCAAAAGATCCTCCACGAGTGCGGTGGCGCTCTCATTGGGGCAGTGTCCTGGACAGAATCAAGAATGCGGCTCTCTTTCGTTGATGTTGGCTGACGGATGCGCGCTTCAGCTTGATCTTGCAAACTTCCCATGACGTTAAGGAAAATCCATGGTTCTCAGACCAGTGCCGGCAGTTTCCTTCACGAGAAGTATAGGTTCTGCAGGAGCTGGTTGTCTGTCCCCCCAATGTGGCGGGCGACACTGTCATGTTGTTCAATCCAGTCCTTGACGTCTTCATACAGCTTGCGTGAAAAAGCGTCGGAGTGCGATTTGCGACGGGCATGCAAACAATGGTGGGAGGGGACACGGTCTGCTGCTACAGGTTTGTCATTGTTGGCTTAGTCAGCTTCGGATTTTCTGACACGAGACCGAATTCCGGTGGTTTTTCCTGGTAGCAGCAACTGGCTCGGATTTCAGGTGCTTCGTGGTGTATTTCCGAGGTTACTCCTTGTGGTACTCAATCGTCTTGCAGTTGTTCTGCCAGGCTTGGGTCAGGACTTTGCCTACGGCTCGATAGGGGTATAAGACGCAGAATAGTCCGCCAGCCGTGTCCCATTATCGGGTAACTCGGCTGAAGAGCCGCCGGGTTCACACAGAGTGAAGGGCTACGGGTAAAGTGCCCAGTACCTCCACCTGAACATACGATTACAGCTGAGCATGACCTGCAGTGTCCCAGAATAGTGAATATTGATAGAAGATAGGACTGGAACAAGGATCCGCGACAGTATAACAAAACTAGCAGAAGAGAATCTATCCTGACCACTGAAGAAGCTGCATTGCTTAAGTGGCATTCTGTCCGAATAAATCCTCTCCTTCGGGGTTTGGCGACTGCCGTGGACAAACTGAACTGAAATGGATGTGGGACCACTTTTCTGGTAATGAGCCACTGCAGACTGTTGCCACAAAGCGGCGTGAGCTGGGTACGTAACAGGCTCGGTGAAATGTCCGGACAGCTTGCAATTCGCGTAACGAGTGTGGATGAAACGTTTGTGTTGACGAAACGTGCGACAGACCAGCGGGATCAATACCAACTGCAACACCTGTGCTCCGTGAAAGTGCACGTCTACGCCGGAACAATTTCGGAAGCAGCACAGCATCACCTAAAGCATGGCACAGGAACTACCAGCTTGAAGGCAGCTCTTCGGTGCGCCGCACACCTGTGCTCCGTGAAAGTGCACTTCTACGCCGGAACAATTTGTAAGCAGCACAGCATCATTCAGCACGGCACGGGAACTACCAGCTTCAAGGCAGCCTTCCGGTGCGCCGCACAACCGAAGTGAGCCCTCGGTCATTTGATCGAAGCTGCACCGCGATTGCACACCGCCAAGCACGACTCAGGCAATTTCCGTCGCTAAACTGCGCATCCAAATATATTGCACACGCTTCACTGCAAACCTCGAAGATTCCGATGGTCAACGAGAGCACAGAAACGTCGCCTTAAATTTTATCCTAGCGGTATCCGAATCAATCCGAGGTTTCAGCAACGTAGGTCAGATTGTCTCTTCCGTGGCAATATCCCGGTCGGTCACCAGCGAAATGCACACCGTTTCTCCGTATTTTCACGTTATACCCACGTCAAACACCACGCTGAACTCTGAACTCGCTTTCGACCGGCCTCATATGACGGCTTCCGCGTCTGAAATCAACTCGCCGAGACGAACGACAACCAACAAAGCATCCGACAAGCTCCGGCCCAGCTGGGGCCAGCCGCTGCATGGGCGCTGCCATCTTTCCTGTGACGTCACGTATTTGGTTTGGTCATGTGACGTGTGGTCAAATTTGCGTACGTTGGCAACGAGCGATTCGGAGGAGAAATAATGGCAGGTCACGTGACCCGACGTCACCGGAAGTGACGTCACAAATATAACGTCACGTGACAAAGAAATTTTGTTTTGCTTGTTTTTGTTTGTTTTGTTTTCTCTGACGTCACGGTTTTTAGCGAGGAAACTTTTTTTTATTTTTACTTTGTTGACGTATTAGTTTTTTTTTATTTTGTTTATTTTCTTGCTTTTTGCAACCGCGGGACCGCGTTTCTGCGCTTCAGATTGCGTTTTTCCGACTCCTTTGTTTGATATCGTGTCGTATCGTCGTATTTATGTAGTTATTAGGAACGGCAAGGCCTACGTTGTTGCGTCCTTTACCCGCTTTACCTGAATATCGTGACCGAATCGAGTGTCGTCGATTTGAATCGTGTCTTGCGAACCATCGTCGAACAAAAGGTGAGTGATTTGCGTTTTCCTGTGATGTGATTTCGATGTGTTCGTTCCACGTGTCCGAGCTGCTTCTTCGTTTCAAATACATTTGGCGCCGGTGCCTATTGTTTGAGCCTGTGCTCACGATGAAAACACGCATCGCAGAAACCTGAAAGCCCGCCAAAAGAGCTCTAAAAACCGCATCCCAGACCTGCCGGCAGACTTCCGAGCTAAGCCTGATTAAACAAAAACGTTTGATCCGGCGGAATAATGTGTTTGATATTACATCCCATGTCAACAAGGAACTGCGCTGTCTGTCTTCGCCCCCAACAGGTTTTATTCTTCCGGGTTTTTCAAATCTTTACCAACCCGCGTCCGATCGTAATACCCCGATCACAACAAATAGTTGATCGTGCTCCGATGGCTCCAAACATCAGCCGGCAAGGAAGTTACGTTTTTCGCTTCTATATTTTGACCCAAGTAAACTCATGTTCTCAAACTATGTCATTCTGTCACCACCTCCAGTTGCACATTCTGGCGCACTTGCAGCCTCGTGCACCCTTGCGAGGTTTCCTGCTATCGTACCCTGGATATCATGGATTTCTCGCCGTACGCGAGTGCTCACGGAGGCGTGCTATACACTCTGTATCATAAGTTGTGTGCAGCAGAGGCGCAGGCCCGAGCACATGACAGTAAAAAGCGCCTTTTTTGCACGAGTACCCGCGCAAAAGGACATTCTGCAGAGCTGTGCCCTCGCACCCGTGCCTTTGCTGCACACAACTTACGAGGCAGTATAATAACCGAGCCGTTTTTGTTTCTTTTGCACATTACTGTGAAAGAAGTGTCATTGCTGTTTTCTTCTCAAAGAAAACTCAGAGACGTTAGACAAAAGCAAACAGATAGGAGACTGCACATTCATATGTTTTTCCCCCTTGTGCTACAGGTGATGGCTGGTCGTGGTTCATCAGCGTTTGTTTTGAAACTGATGGGTACCACAAGGCATGAAGGAGGTGACTTGCAGCAGCAAGGCACTGCAAGCCTTCGCAGCAACTGGCTAGCCAGTGCTGCTCTGTTCTGAACTGCACTGCGTGTCATGCGGAGGTTTTGTGCAAGCTCTCTGGGCGGCGACGCTAGCCACGGTAAGTGCATTCTATGCAGCTTCCTTTTAGGGATATATGTGGCTCGCAGGCCATGTCGTGCCAGCGAAATATGTGCCACCCGAGTGACAGCAGTGCTAGTGGCAAGGCTGCGCTGACAGTAAGTAATCAACACTGCACTGTGTTTTCATTCAATAACTAGTGACAAGGAACCAAATACTCCCGAGAGAGTCTCGGTTGTGCTTTGATAAACTCCAGCTCGCTTATGAACAGGTGGATGGCACAGATGGCTTTTCCTGGTGGACTTGGTGTCCGTGTTAACATTGCAACCAGACTTTCTTTCAGTTTCTGGCGTTTTTTCGTTGCGGGTGACCAGCATTGCAGTAGAAAAAGATGCAAAATAGTATAATGTTTGCATTCGTTACCTAAATTAATGGCAAGAACAACTGACATACATTTCCACCGACTGCATTTCTCGGAGGAATAGCCTGGACTAAAAAGCTCGCTACACTATGTCGTTCCCTCTTCGCCTGTACAACTCTGCGTCTTCCCTCGATCGTCTTATGTGGCTGCTTCTGTGTCTGCCTAGGCACTCGGTTGAAATGGGGAAAGCTGTCTGCGTTGCACATAACCGCCATTAGAGCCAGCGTGGGCGTAGCTGGGGTAGCCCCCACTATGGCTTCTCCAGCTCGACACAAGTAACATTCCTACCGCTGTTGTGTTAGCAGAAAACAGACCTGCTTAAAACGTACAGTGCACATAGCACACAATGGAGAGGTTGCTCGCCAATCATTTTCTTGGAAGTGTGAGTTGAGCCCTTTCGAGGCAGTTTGCTTCCGCACCGTGCACTATAATCCGCCCGAGAAGAGAAAACAAGATGAATAACCAGTAGGATTTCTTTGTTCCAAGGCTTCTTGATGCAGAAAAAGACTAGGGAGCTAGTATTGTTGCTTTTTTGCTACCCCGTGCGAGACTCAAACCCGACATGCAAGGAAGTGGAAAGGCCTCTTCCTTTCTGCTTTCTTGTGCCTTGGGTTTTAGCTGTGTTCAGAATTCACAGCTCGCCTGCATGCCTACTCTTTTGTTCACTGTGTTACTGAAGTTTTCTGTCGTTGCTGTCCCAGATTGGCTTCGTGGATGCACAGAAATACTCAAGGCGCTTGACGTCTGTGGCTCATCTGTATTGTTTTTCCCGGTACCACGGCATGAAGGAGCTGGCCTCCCTCCCTTCCATCAGCTGCGAGATACTACAAGCACTGGGCTACAGCTGCAGCTAGCCCATGGGTACCGTTCTGCGTCCTGTACTGCATCTAGTTCGAAAGGCCATGTGAAAGGCAGGTGTGGTCTTTATGGGCTCTGTCACTATGTGCATTTTCTGCAGCTTTTTCGGGGCAACTTCATATTAAGATTCAATACGGACTCGAGTGAGAGGGGGGCATTCTGAGAAAGCCAGCCTCTTTGTTAAACCATTGGGACTGGTATTATATCTACAGAGTTTATTTACACCTTTTGTTATGTACTTTTTTATTTATTTTTATTTTACTAGTTACTTATACTTCAATCTGACACGACAGCCACCAAAAATGGGGAAAGGACAAAAATGTTGACATATTGGCCTTTTTGTTTTCTGGCAGTTTGTTTGAAGAGCCAATGTTGGGGGCCGTCATTCGTGTTATTTTTCCCACACGCACGTCCAGCCTATGTTTACGTAAAGCCCCAATTGCCCCTTAGCAACAAAAATAATTTATGCGACAGACTAGGCGGCAGCATTGTGGACGAAAACAGGCCAGATTATATCTGCCATGTTTAAAAACTACATTCGGTGACAGGTTATGAATTCAGTGGCAAGAATGCACACCGCCTGCCAATCACTGCTGTCAGTTGTCGTGACGTCACGTCCTGCTAAGAAACTAGTATATATTTTTTTTAAATGGCAGGTTTTGGTTGCTGATGCCTCGTAGCACGTCAGCACTCTAAGCAATTCTTCTGCTCTTGGCCTCTCCGGTTTTACTTTGCAAAGTCATGACGGCGTCTGCTTTTGTTTGCGGTATTTCCCGTGTGTCGACGTGAGAAGGCAGCGATTGTATCGCCAAGGAAGTAGCGATCAATCTGCGCATTTATTCCAGCGGCACAGCGTTTACAAACCGGACTTTGCCCTTCACCGAGGGGAAAGTCTACCGAATGGCCCTACAGTTGGCGAGCATTGTGCAGCCGTGAGCGCGTAACTTGTCCGAATGCTTTCGTCTGTATACAGTGACAAAATGAGTCGCTGAAATGCGAAGTACCATACAGTACCATGCCGTACAGCAAACCATCGATCACTTGCTGCAGCAACTTTGCGTTTTAAGTCGTAATAATAAAGTGATTTTTAGGCTAAAATCATTTTTTCATACTGCTCAATTATTCGGAATTCTGCACGATCCCCATCGGGTCTGCAATATCGGTCGGTGGCTGTATAACCTTTAAACACAATGGTTACACACCACAGGTACCGGGGACCATGACATCAGTGAGCTGGCTTTCACCTTGTCCAAGGCAGCAGCGGAACACTACGGGCGGGACCCTGGATCACTGCACCATGGATGCCGTCCTGTACCCTGCACGGCACTGCGTGTGGCTTAAGTGGCCAAGCAGAGGGTCATTGCATGACTTTTATGAGGCGCCGCTAGCCATTGTAAGTACATTTTGGACACTCATGTCTGGTGATGTACTTTTGTGCTCTACCGCAGAGCACATTTGGTGGCGGGTTCAGTCTTGCCAATTACACCATTTTGAAACGGAACACATTTAGTGGTGGCTCGGTTTAGGTTTCCTGGCTCGGTGATCTTGCAACAGTGTCTAGACTTGGCGTAAACCTTTTTGTACTTCATTGTCAAGGCTAGTGTAATTTCTGCAATGCCGTTGAAGCCACTTCTGCACGCAAACAAGATAAAAGTCGAAGCCACATGCTCGTGCACAGTGTATGACTACATGTATGCATGGGCACTCGTGCCCATGCGTACCCACTCGCAACATGGAGCATGTTTGTTTCGGCCGACACTCCACGCGTTCATTTCGGCGTCGCCACTCCACACGTCTATGCACTCGCTGCACCTTGAGAATCAAGTGTGCACCAGAATGCACTCCCGTCATGCATCACTCGGGAGAGGAACAAGAGCAGACGACTGGGGTTTTTCCGCCATAAGGAACGAGAACCGAAAAAAAGGGGATTTTCTGCTAAGAAACTGCGTCCCACGGGCAGCAAAATCGGACGCGAGCTGGGCTATTTATTCTGTGAAGCAAGCAATCGACAACCTGTGCTTCATTTTCAAGTTTTCTTTCAGCTTGTTGCCACACAGACATTGAAATACATCAATGGGATAAAGTAAGGTTCAGAACCAACATCAGCTACCGTGAGATCTCTCACCATCCTTGCGGGGTTGAAAAATTGGGACTTCAGTTGACAAACCTCGCCCGCCCTCCTGTCCATCATCACCTGACCCCATTCTGCATATGTGGGTATGTGCAAGGGAGCGTGATCATGTGGCTGAAGATACAAGTGTGACCGGCCCAACGAGCACATAGTTTCCACAGCACTGTCGGCTTAGGGGTGCACGGAAGATACTGTATAAACTGGAATATAGGTCGACCCCTTAATTTACAAGTTGCAAGATGCAAAAGAAGTTTTTATGGCAAGAAAACGCAACCTTACCTTGGTGACAAAATTGTCCAAGTATATGAAAGGACGAGAAAACACGGCAGATTTATTTAATTGTTTTGCACTCAATAAAACAGGAAGTATGCGAGTGTTACTACTCAGATTCCTCAGAGCCTTCGTCCGACGACGAGTTCACTAACACAATTTAAAGGGACGATGCCGTCCCTTCGAATTGCGCCCTCGAAAGCTCGGAGGCACGAGCAACCTCAACGCCTTTTATATGGATGCTCTCCGACATCACAGGTATCGATCTGGCGCACAGATCCCGAATAAAGTTTGCCGCCTTTGTTTCCAATTCGGGGTACACTGCAGTCCTTCCACGAAATTAAGTTTTCCTCGCCTTGCTGCACGCCGCCGGTTTTTGTCTCTGGTTTTGCCAGTAGCATATGCTTTTCTCCGATACACTGAACTCTCGCTGCGCTGCAAGATTCCGGTGGATCTCTGCATAGGCGATTGCCTTGTTCTAAAAGGCTACTGTGAACTGTCTTCTACTTCCGCTCATTATTGCTGCGGTAGATGTAACAAACCAAGGAGCACAAGTAAAAGTTAATCGTGACCATCGTGACAAGTGGACGAGTGCTAGGCCATTGCAATATAAAACAAAATGGCGTCTTCAGGCACTGAGTGTTGCGAGATTATTTTTGTTTTTCCGCTAATGACCGTCATATAAGACTAGGGTCGACTTTTTCAGGTCCAATTTCTAGAATAAATTCGACCTATATTCCGGTTTATATGCTAGTTGTGCATAGTACTGTGGAAGCCACAGGCTGGGGAGGGGGGGATTAGCAACTTTTGTCTGAATGTTGAGCGACGAGCATCAAGGGCCAATTTCCTAGGGGGAGAATGGTGACGTGCGAGTACAAAAATGAGGATCCAAGCGCCATGAGCAAGAGGGGAGTTCCTCCTTTTCCTCCTCTTGAACTGCTAGAGGTATACTTATGCCCCTGTACCTTTGGTAACACTGCACAATTTGTAAGTTGAGGAAAGCTAAGAAGGAAGTTGAAGAATCGATTCATGACCCCTTTAACATTTACCTACACTAGTTACCTTGCACCATTATATTTTGTTTGAGAAAGCTCTCATCCTCACCCCTCCCATAAGGGATAAAATCAGAAGTGTATACAACGATCGGAATCTAAAGTGCCACGAAACCTATTGCTGGACATTCTTACGGGTTAGTGATCAATTTTTGTATGAATGAGGCCTTACCAGTGCCTTTGCCTCAATAGTGTGGTAAAAGGGCAATTTTCTTGTTTGTGCGCACAAATTTGTTTTGAAACATAACTTGCTGGACTACCAATGCATGTTTCAAGATCTCTGTTGTGGTGAATGTTTTGCTGCCTGTTATATTCTTCAATAGCCAGTATCGTTTAAGTTCTAGAACTCTATACAGTAAACTCCCACTTGAGCAAACTTCTAGGGACTCAAAGAAATAGTTCCCTTAACTAGGAGTCCACTAAACTGAATATATTCACTGGATTATGGAACAGCATAGGGCACAGCATACATTGAGTCAAAAGGGTGAAATGCAATTTATGGAGTCATGTACATTGATATATACAAAGTGTATTGCAGTTACGCTGCTGCCTTTCTCATTTTGAAAATAGTCAATAATTTTCATTTGCACCGGCGCTCTGAAAGCGCATGAAGTAACAAAGTTGCCCAGAGAGTATCTTTTTTTTTTTTTTGCATATCCTCTGGCGCAGCTAGTTGCTGTGAGGAAGTCATACCGCAACGGCACTGTCCACTGGCTTGAAATATTCAGTGCAGAGCCGTTCCCTGTTGGGATTGAACGCAGTTTCTCTTTCAAGCTTCGACTTTTGCTTCACTAACGTTGACAACGTCGACGGTAGCATCCGATAGTCCTTCGCAACATTCACTTGCCTTTGACCGTTGCCCAGACGCTGAAAGTATTTCAATTTGTCTGAGAGACAACCGCTTCCATTTCGTTATACTTATTACGTAAGTGGGCGCACAAACTGCCGTTGTTACCCAAAACTAAGATGGCCGAAAGGAACCAATAATAAAGAAAAGAAAATATGCACCGCATGGTTCGTTTTTGTCTACCGCACCGCTGCTGCAAAGGCGGCGGCGGCCATCAGCTACGCCAGCACTGCAGAGCACAAAACTTTGTTGAACTGATCACAACAGTAATCCTGGGTCCACCGATCAAGTTCGTTGAACTGAAATATTCGCTATTCCGAAATTCGTTTTTCGTAGAGCAAACATTTTTGCATAGAATGCAAAGGAAAACCACCATAGATTTTTGAAAGTTTGTTATTCTGAAATACTTGTTAAACCGACATTTGCTCAAGTGCGAGTTTATTGCACCCGACTACTGTGCGTTGCCCTACATGTTCGGGTAAGGTACTGTTTCTGTTTACCTAATAGGCACTTTCGTTCTCTGCATATACACCATAGGTTTCAAACCACCCTGAATCGTGGATCAAGCCTTGCAAGATGGAAGTTCTCTTTAGGCCCAGCGCCTCTTGATGGATCAAGTCTTGTACCCCATTCCCTCGTGTCTTTCATATAAGTAAATTGTTGGTATTTCTTTTATGACAGTGCACGTTACCTGCGGACCACGTTTTACAGTCGAAACGCAGTGTACCGAAACTTCTTTTATATAGACCCCTTTCTTTGCAAGCGCCACCAGGCGGTGCTTCAGTTTGTTTGATGTCTCAGCAAACTGGTGATGATGATGATGCCGGTGACGTCATCAGTGATGATGGCGTCATCGCATCGTCATCAGCGATGACGACGATGCGGATGCCGGTGACGTCATTGGGGGGGTCACGTGACCTTGGGGGAGGGGTCATGTGACCTTAGAATGACCTTGGGGGGCCATGTGACCTTGGGGTGACCTTGGTTACGCCGACGCCGCTCAAGCCGGGAACGGGCCCCTAAGAGCTGCGCTCTAAAAGCAGACAAGTTTGAACGATCAGGCGGCCGTGTGAATTTGAAGACTTGCTGAACCCCCGGGTGGTCCGGACAACTTGGCGGTTTTCTCTCGTTCATGTTGGAACACAACTACATCTGTCGAGCACAAAGTGTTGCCAGCATAAGCAATCGTAGTTCGACAGCGTCTGGTTAGCCCTTGTCACGAATACTATCCACGTTTTTGGACGAATGGAGGGGCAGAAACACATGAAAACTGATCTTCAAACCTTTCCAGAGTCTCTTGGTACAGTTCCGTCGCAGCATTTTGACGAGAAGGCAGGTTTTTTGTCTGGTTTCTCCCAAAAGAACGCAGGAATGCATGTCTCGCACCGCGGCTTCTGCCCACCACCCCAGACCGGAAGTGTGCCCGACGCGCCACCACCGTGGCGTGACGTAGGAGAGCTGAGTTCATGTATACCGGTACTACAGTAGACTTTCTCCACAACGATGGAAGAGCATGATTCCTTAGGTGATATGCATGCTTCAATAATGGGGCAAACAAATCAGTGCTGCCCTTAACAATAAAACAAGATATAAAATCTGCACCCAAGAACAGCCTCGCTTTAATTTCTTTATTGCTTTTAACATTTCGGTGTCAACTTCCTTGATTGCTGAAATGTTCCTCAATATTACTGAAAAAAAGATGTGCTTGCATTGATGAAAGTGTGAATGTTGTGAACACATTCCTCAGCAAACAGCAGATCTCCAACAATATCTGGACCTGCTTGGCAATGGTAGCAATGTGTGTACAAATGTTCTTAGATCTAGGTCAGTTCACACACTTGGAAAATGCCCGACACCCTTTTGCGGCACATCCGCTCAATGGCATCTGCTACACTATCAGCTCGTCCTATGGACAGATCCGGTAGAACGTTGGATGCAGATTACCTGCGGTGGAAAGTGGTTTTATTGTGGTTCTTATAGTAAACATAAGGTCTGCACAATACTTAACGCAAAAAGAGCATTAAAAAAATGTGTTTTTGCTGACCGTGGAGGCATTGACGCTGTGGCGCTAAGAACATTATCCACCCTTACCTGCTTGCATGCCGGCAACAGAAAACTGTTTTTGAATGCTGCTTTTCCGTGGAGCTTGTCAACTGATAGATCCAAGAACGTTGGCATGTATGGCCCAAGGGGAGGCATCTATTTTCCAAAGCACCGGTTTAGAAACCCCCATTTTATTGAATCCTTTCAAAAAGACGCCCAGTTTAGAGAAAACGGCAACGAACCTCCTTTCAGCAAATTTATTTTTAAGAAAACAATTCACCGAACTCGACTGCTTGCTCCAGCATTCGCTTGTTCTGTCTTCGCTGACGGTGAAGCTGAGCCAGTCAGCGAGTCGCTCGCTTGGGCGGCCAGCATATTCAGAGTATGATGGACACGTTTTCGTGCATGTCACTACCCTGCTGTTTTCGAAAATAGTACTTTTACGTTCTGTTTGTTTCACAACTTAAATCATGCCTCAGTGAATCATGTGCTAGCCTTTAGGTGCTTCCAGATTTGCTTATCTTAATTCAATCGAAGGGATTCACTAAACTGCGACCCTTTTTCAATAAATGCTGCTGTAAACTGAGCTTCGATAAAATGTGCCAGTCCTCGAAAACACGCTTCTATGATATGGTGTTCGGTCAACTGCCATAGACCCCTGCACGAGTGCAACTGAGCAGCAGTTGTAGGTACAGCACATTCTATTAGCATAAAATAAAGGCACACAGTCAAACAAAGCACCTCAGTGATGCCTAGGAGATCAGCGAACATAGAAATATTTTACACTGAGTACTATTCAGTTTCATATCTCTTAACATTACCGTCCCGCTTCGGCTAGTCCCTAGATTGTTGACAGCTGCCCCGGCGAGGATGCTTTCCGGACATTCGAAAATAAAACATCTCAGCACAGGTGCTATCCACCGTTTAACCACGTGTTCTTTACGAACATAACTCGGCTTCCAAACGATATTATAGAACGCCGTAAGTTAATATTTTCAAAACAGTAAAAGCGTATCTTGCAACTGCGCAGCATAAAAAGAACAGTGCAGGTAGAACGGATCCGTATCACATGAGCGAATTGCATTTTAGCGAACAGCGACATTGGTCACTTCCTACGTATCCGGATTCATACATAACCAGACTGTCGTTAGCAAAATTGTAGGTACTGAAAACAGGGAAATGAACGAGTGTGTGATGGGTTGGTAAGGGAAAGAAACGTGGACAAAAGGCAAACAAGCAATTTAGGAGACAAGACGACCCACCGAGCTAATGCTCTGTACGAATCTAAACCTCAAATACTACTTTCACTACAAATACAAGATACCCACAATATTACGCGATAAATAGCCACCAAAATTAACGTACCAATTGGGCAGTGCTGTTCGTAAATCACGTAAATCGCCGAAATCACAGAACGTTCACGAAAGACGAAACGGAACGGCCATCTTGAAAAAATAAAAACAGTGATGGTGATAGCGATGTGTATTCTGTAAAAACTCTGAGGACAAATGCACTCAATGTTTTTTTTTTTCCTGATTTTTCTTCAGATTTATGTATGGCAATTGCAAAAACTTTGGAAAACTTACTTCCCCTAGCAAGACCTCGTCAAAATAATGGTAAATAATGGTAATAGACGTTTTGAAATACACTTGGCAATGTCCACGTGGAGCGAGTTTTTCTTTTGCATGGGTTGTGGCGATGCAAGAATGCCAACCTCCGATTTAAGGATAGACCTCAAAGCAGCTAAACCTGTGATTAAGGATAGTGGATGGACCTTTAAGCAGCTAGCATCGTTTACCCACCATCTTTCAATCAGAGCTCCGCATTTCGACGTAACCACAAGCAGACGAACCTGCGCTCCACATGAACCTTTTCTCAGTAATTAATTGCAAAAAAAACACAGACTTGGGAACTTCTTGCTAAAAGCCTTTCCTTAAAAGTGTGAATGGTCAAAAGCCAATGCTACGAAAGGCTGAAATACTTCGGACATAGCATGTTAAGGTGGCAAGAAAAATTAAACAGGGATATCCATCTTCTTTCCATCAAACTTTTCGGAGCTTCATCTTTTTAATAATTACCTCCTCACATGTTTCACAGTAATCTGTGGCATGGATTTACCACACTCCTTTTGTGAAGTGTAGCAAGAGGTATACACCGTCATCAGAAAAATATACAATTTATTTATGACAGGGAGCCACGAGAGGGGAAGATGGCAAGACCCGATCCACCAAAAAGGAGAGGGCATAAGAGTGAGGTCTTGCAAGGCTTGGTCCGTGATTCAGGACGGTTTGAAACCTATGATGAATGAAGAGAACAAGGGAGTCCATCAGGTCAACAGCAACAATATCTGACCCAAACATGCAAGGCAATGAACAGCAGGGGCGAATTTGTCAGGCTGGTTGGAGTGGGGGTCGGTGGGAGGGGGGGGGCGGTTTGCAAGATGATATCACGGGCAAAATGTTGCCCAAGTGTGTTTTGTTGACCTAATATTTGTTATGTCACCAAAAACTAATAATTTCTTCCTAAGAAAAGCTGGAGTATGTTGATTTTTCATTAAGAAGTTAACCTCAAGGGGGGGGGGGGGGGGGGGAATGTGACTCCCCCCCACAAAAAAAAATCTGCACATGATGCAGAGCACTTGAGTATACACCAAGAAACTGAGGGAGAGGAGGAGACGAGAGCATGTGGGGACGTCAGAATACAGAGCTCTGGTTGGAATGATTAGAGGGTAGACCTAGCTGCCTTTGTATCCACTGCACTCATCAAAGGCGTTTGAATGTGAAAGCCATACCCTGGACACCAGCGTTCCGCGTTCTAACGTGTTCGAATGAGAGAACAAAACGCTGGATGCCGGCGTTCCATCTTCAAATGTGTTCGACGACTGCAGCAGAGACAGAAGCTATCTTTGTCTCCACTGCACTCGTCGAACGCATTCAAATGCAAAAACCAAAAGCCAGACACCGTCGTTCCGCATGTGCAGAACAGACAAAGGCAGCTAGCTTTAGGTCTACCCACTAATCGTTCCAATCAGAGCTCTGCGTTCTGGTGTCCCCGCACTCTTGTCTCCTCCTCTCCCTCAGTTTTTCGGCACAGAGTTCTGGGAGTTTAACAATGGCTAGCGAAAAATCCAACAGACAGCACCACATCCACAAAAAAATAGCTTTCTTTGGCATTTCCCAAAGGTGTTCTAAATTGCATAGCATTCATAGGATCTCTTCGCACCCTACCCGTCGCCCGGAGTCCACTTCAGGACTCCGGGCAACGTCCACTCGGAGGAGGGACCGTCCCGTGTGATCTGGCTGGTCCCTTGAAAACGGGAAACGTGTAGGGAAGTGTGAGAGTGGGCCAGAAGGGTGGCATACTCTCCCCGACATGATACAGAACGAGCAGGCTCGAAGCCAGGCGACTCCGGCCGGAATGTCTGCAGCTTACACCTTCTCAGGGGAGGGAAACCAGTGGCTCCCGCAAGTCACTCGGTTTTTCTCTAATGATCTTGTCAAGACTTCTTCAATACCCGTATCAAATAAAAGCGGTCATGACCGAAAACGTTACCCGAGAGATGTCCTTTGTAATGGAAGCACCCGACGAAATCGGTGACGAAATGGCGTGTTTTGATGTACGGACCCG